CTTGTGCCGCTCCACCGTGCAGGAGCAGACCCGCAGGCAGGTGGCCGTGCTCAACGCCACCGCCCAGGAGCTCTTCAGCCTCTACGTGAGTGGAGCTTGGGGACGGCCACGGGCCACGGGGGGGTTCGAGCCACAAGCGCACGAAGGGGGAGGGTTGGGGGCGCCGCGGGGACGGTGACGGGGGGGACACAGGGGACACGTGGTGATGTTCCCCTCTCGTCCCAGCTGAAGTGCCAGGGAGAACCGTTCAGCAGCGAGAGTGACAAACTCTGCAACCCCGCCGGTATCTTCTTCCCCGCCTTCCGCGTCAACCGGACGAGCGAGAGGAAGGAGGTGATGGTGGCCATGTACAAGCTCTTCGCCTTCCTCAACGCCTCGCTGGGAAACATCACACGAGACCAGGAGGAGCTCAACCCCATGGCCAAAGAGCTCCTCGAGCGGCTCCACAACACCACCAAGACCACCCGAGGCCTCATCTCCAACCTCACCTGCCTCCTCTGCAAGAACTACAACATCTTCCAGGTGGACGTCAGGTACGGGGACAGCTCCAAGGGCAAGAGCGCCTTCAAGAAGAAGCAGCAGGGCTGCCAGGTGCTCAGGAAGTACGTGCAGGTCATTGGCCAGGCAGCACGTGTCCTCCTACCTCATCTCAGCCCCTCATGAGCGCCCAGCCCGCCTACGCTGCCTCTCTGCTGCCTTCCGGATTCCCACTTTCCTATTTATTACCCGGACCCTGCGCTGGCCCCGTCTGCCCTCCGGTAATTTATTGCCCCTTGAGGGGGTGAACGCTGAGCCCGGAGTGTCCCGGGCGGAGCAGAGGCAGCATCCAGCAGGACGGGGCAGCGCATCCCCGAGGAGATGCCGGGGCACGGGCTGGTCCCAGGATGTGCCTCAGCCATCCTCGTGCTGCTGTGGCGTGCGAGGAGCTGTGGGAGCTGGCAGCAGGGCAGGACTCTGTCCCCCACGGACGGTGTCATCATGGAGAGCAACGGGACAGGTGTCCTTGAGCACCGTCTGAAAGCTGTCACTTCCCTGGAAAAAGGACTGTGAGGAAGGACACTGGGATGCAGTGGCTGGCAGGGACGTGGGGACACGGGGACACGCTCCCCCTGCACATTTTAAGGCTGCAAGGAGCCAAGCTGAGGGTACCGGTGGCTGTGCTGGCTGGGGCTGGGTCCCACCGTCTGGGACAAGGCCACCCGTGTGGGACAGTCACCCCACAGCGGAGCATCACCCCCCCGCGCGGGCACGGCGGGGCACGGAACGTCCTCTCCTTCGGAAAAGCGCTTTTCCCATTGGAAGAGCTCTGAATGTACTGACGGCTACGAGCTGGGCTTTGCACGGCTGAACACAGCCCTGGCATGGGGACACGGGGACATGGGGACATGGGACACGGGGACATGGGACACAGGGACACGGGGACATATGGGTGAGGGATATGGGGACACGGGGATGTGGGGACACAGGGACGGGCCCCAGGCCGGTGGCAGGTGGCGCTGGCTCGCTCCTGGCACCAGAGCGGGCTTTGATGGTTATTTATTGCCTCCATGGAAAGCCCAGCGTGCACTGAGAGCTGACTTTTAATAATTTTATTGTTAATAATAATTAATAATTATTAATAAGATTTGTGGTAATATATTCCTGGAATTCTATTTAAATATTTATTTTTTATACTTGCCCTACTTTTTTAAAATAAACCAATAGAAACAGACTGTATTTGGCTGCTATTCGTTGGGTCCCTTTTGTGCTCACCCTCAGACACCTCTGCTCCCCAAAAACACCCTTGGGGCTGCTCCAAAACCCCTCAAGGCATTGCTGTGGGTCACGGTCCCCTGTCACCTTGTTACTTCCTCCCTTCCCACCTGTTATGGGATGGTTGATTGGAAATATATTTTCCGGGGGGGTGGCATGTTTAAATTGATGCTCACCAGCCGCTCAGAAGTGCTGGGATGACGATGTGGGGACCATCGTGGTGCAGGGATTGTCCTGGCATGGGCACCACCACGGTGAGGGGAGCATCCCAGTGTGTGGAGCATCGTGGTGTGGGGACCCCCACTCTGGCAACCCTGGAAGTTCCTGGGGAAGCAGAGAAAGGCTGGGAAGAGGCTGAGGGAGCCGAGTGAGCATGTGAGAGGTGCAGGGCACAGGCAGATAAAATCCCAGCCGCTTCCCAGGCTGTGCTGGGAGAGGCTCAGCAGAGCTTTGCCGGGGCCAAGACCACCTAAGGCTGCATCAGTGCCCCGGTCCTCGGCGAGAGCCTCGCATGGGGCTGTATCGGTTAACAAGAGCCTGATTATACAGGAGACGTTAGAGCAGGATGATGAAATTTTCCTCCTCCTCCGGAGCCCTTGGGCCACTGGCCAAACCTCCCAGGCATGAGACAGCAAGCGGATGAGCTAAGATCCTGTGTGATCATCTCTCGTGTCTCAGAGGAGCCCCGACCTAAAGATCATCGCAGAAATTCAGAAGTTGCCCCCTAAGCCACTCTTCCTCTGCCCTGCAGGGTCGTGCTGCCCAGTTGTGTCCCCTGGCTGCTATGGGAGGTTTCATGGCATGGGTTTGACCCCAGACTGGCACTGCCTTGTGCCAGTGGCAGCCTCGTGCTGCACCAGTGGTGACAGCAGGGCCAGCGGTGCCCCTTTGCAGCCTGGCCTTGCTGTCCCTTCATGGAAGGGGCAAATGCCTAAACAGAACAGGCTCCTCCATCCCACAGCCGAGGCACCCAGGGACACCCCTGCATGCCATGGTGTGTCCTGATGCATGATGTGAATCCAGCCTGCCCCCAGGGCAGGGACCCTGGGTGTTCTCTGTGTCCCCACCCTGGAGGATGCCCATTTTGGGGTTGCCACCATTTTGTGGGGCCTGTTTCCTTCTTGCACTGTGGGATACAATGCACATACTCAAAGCAATACAACCCTCCAAAAAACACAGGAGTGGGGCAGGACATCATTGCTTTAGGATATGCCCCAGGGCCAGGTCCTGCAGCACTTGTCACCACGGCACCCTGACCCCGCAGCTGGGGACACACAGGTGTCCCCATGGCTTTTGTTACCATGGCATTATACGGCCAATACTTCCTATGCTGGGAGACCCAGGGCTGGACATCCAAACTTAGCCTTTCCTTGTGTCAATACCCACAGTCCATCCCCACCAGGGATGTGACAGGTGCCATGAGGTGCCACCAAGCCTCCCCGGGCAGCTGGAGGGGTGTCAGGGCCCGGGGGCCGGGTCGGGCTCGGCGGGGCTGGGGATGATGTCCTGAGCGGGAGCGAGGAGCTGTGCACATCTGGATTTCTCACGCTTGCGTTCAACATCCCTCCTCAACCAGATGGCAAAAATAAATAAATAGAATAAATCACTGCCTCCTGACATAAATCGGGAACTCACGCCCCGGCTCTGCGTTTCATGAGTCTCCCTGGAAGACAGTCAAACACAGGCGAGGACAATGGGTTCACTTCTCCCCTGTGTCGGGTCATTCCCAGTTAAGGCTCATTAGCAGCAGGCGGGGGATTAACTCTTCCTTCCCTGGAAACGCGTGGACAAGCAAATTCTCCAGATCCCTTCCTCTGCTCTCCCCTGAGGTTTTGGAGCCGGGGCCGGCGGCCCCCTGCTCGTGCCATCGCCCCAGCGATGCTCTGCTCATCCCACACTCGGGAGAGATGGAAAGGGCTTTCGATTACCTCAGCCAGCGGCTGATCCCACCCAGCCGGCGCCCCGGGGAAGCGGGCCAGCCCCGCGAACCGGACCGGGAGCACCGCGAAGGAACCGGCTCTGCGGCTTCCCCAGCGGCACCGGCAGGACCCTGTCAGTGACTCCCCTTCGGCCCCAGGACCAGAGAAGCTATGCTGGCCGGGACGAGAGGCGGGCGGGGCTCCGGGGAGCCATCCGCTGCGATGGGAGCGATGCCCGCGCCCCGATAACGGAGCGGCCTGACCGCGGGCCCCGAGCGGCGGGTCAGCGCTGCCTTCGGGGAGCGGGATACGTGAGGAGCTGCTCCTGCCCGCGGTGAAGTCAGTGCCGCTGCCTGGGTGTGACTGACTGACCTCAGTCCTTGGCCCCG